AAAAAAAAAACATAAAAGAGGACGCAAAACTGCTTAAAAAAGAAAGCAGAACCGAGATAATGGATTTAAAGACTTCATGTGACGTTACAAGATACGTGTTTTTTCGTCATCACGACAGCGAAACTGGACCAGAGATACCATAAACAATAGTAAGGGTAATTCGGAGTTATCTCATTTTCCTTAAACGATAGATTCTCCCAGTTCTGAGTATTCATACCTCAAAAGGCTTAAGACGGATTCCGCTCAAAGTTCGAGCAATAAGTGCAAAAATTATTTACTAAAAATCTACTCATAGCGCGGTGACTTTTGGAATACTGGCTAAAACAACTCACTTAAGTTCATTTCTTTAAGTGTCCCCGCGATTAAATTCTCCAACACTGCGGGGAAAGTTAATGCCAAACCTGGTTACTGTGTTTTTAACTAAGGCGGAACGCCTGTTTTAAGTGAAATATGGATAACTTTAAATTCAATTTTCCCTCGTGGGGTCAGTTTCATAGCTTAACTCTCGATAAGTTCTTCCCAACTGTATTCAAAATAATGCCATGCCATGAGGTATTTCGGTAACTTAATTTTTGCCATTATTGCTCAAATGTTTTGCGGAAATCATCTTAATATGTCATTTTTCACTCTCTCGGATGTAGCTTTAAGGTCTTAAATGCGCAGAAATGATCAATTCTTAATGGCACACAACTCTTAATTATTTAACACTCATTTGCATGCCAATTTCTTTGTATTTGATATATTCTGTTATGTAGATTCTGCTCTCTATAACATCGCACTGTTAACGATGGCTGATGATGTGGACAACAATTCAAGCGCGGAGCTCACGAATACTTCTTTGTTGCTTGCTTCCTTTAGCCTGACGGAAGGAGTGGCTTGGTGTAGTGCCTTTGCTGTAGTTTCTTTCTTCATTGTCGCAGGAAACGTCCTTGCAGTCATAGTTTTTGCTTTGAACAAAAATCTTCGTAAGAAGAGCTTCCTCCTGGTTATAAATATGGCATGTGCGGATTTAATGCTGGGAGCCCTGTCCTTGCCTCTCTTTATTTATCAACTTGGAGGTGATTTTGAGCTGTGGCCAAAACAGTGGAATTTCTCTTTGAACTTGTTTTATAGGGTTATCGATACAGTTTGTGCTCAGTCATCAATAATTACGGCCGCATTCATTGCCATAGAGAGGTTTTACGCTACGGCATGGCCACTTAAACATCGATCCAGAGCCCGTCGACGTGCGTATTACATCTTAATTTTTCTGACCTGGCTGTTATCTATAGCTCTATCAGCTGCAATTATTGGTTCTTTGTACAAGTCAGTTAACGTAGCGGTTGTGATATGGGTGTCGTATGCGTCCATCTTAACCCTAACTATAAGTGGCTGTTACATCGGCATTTGGACAAACTTTACGCAAGGGAGAAAAGGTATACGAGGTGATAGCAGTGGAAAATCTCAAAACAAGCGATCAACAAAGACATTGTTGCTGATAACTGCCATAGCGTTGCTGTCGTGGCTGCCCTTGATAATAACTAACACGGTCTCAGTTTATATTCCGGTGGATAAACACATTGTGCTCACTGTTAATCTTCTTAACTTCTGCAACTCATTTGCCAATCCTGTTCTTTACTCGCTAAGGATTCCCGAGTTTAGAAAAGCTCTGTGCTTAAGAGAAAGATCTATAGGAAAGGGTAAAGTAGCTCGGCTTGCTGTTACCACCACGGCCATCCACCTGCACGTGGCTTTCAAACAAGTGGTTGATGTCAGCGGGCTTCTTAACCACAAGGAAAACAATGAGGAAGAAACGGAGACTGAATTCAGAAGCTGAATGAAACTATGTATTTAAACGAAATTAAGGGTTTTTTTTGGCCAAATCATTGCCAAAATGTAAGCTCAGTGTTACTGTAAACTTCTCTTAAATCGATGGTAGTATATATAAAAAACTATCATCCAATCATTGGGTTTCAAATTAGAATTAATAGCAGTATAATGTTTTAAAAATGTCAATGATTCGGAAAAATTGGGCATATTTCAAGGTATTCATGCAGGACGGTACAGCAAAACTCCAGAAACTGAGTCTATAGTCAATCGAGAGATTCTTTTTCTCTTTTTAATTTACTGAAATGTTAGAGATTGAAATTCACATTATTGTGTAATAACTGTACTGAAACGAACGAAAAACTTGTTCGATCGTGGAAGTAGTTAACTACAAACCTTGGCATTTTAGAAGGCCTCATTCACAGTGATTTTGTTGACCTTGGCTGTTGACATTTTGTAGCCGGATTTCAAAACTGTGTGGTTTTCAAAATCCCTCAGTGTCCACGATATTCTCCGCAGGAAATCCCACAACTTCGACTGCTCAGTGACCACATGCACATGCAGTCTCAAAACAAGAAGTATTGTTTCGGTTTACTTCGAGAATGCAGGAGCACAAAATTTCTTTAATGCAATTCAAATAGCAGTCGCACACCTAATATTGCGTTATGTCATTAGCTTGCTTAGTCAGGGCAGATCTGATTACGCTAGGGGACATGCTGCGAGAACGTGATGAGGGGACAAACCCCTTCGTGTTATGTATAGGATGCATGTTGCAGGGACAGTAAGCAAGCTGATGCACGGAAAGCGGATATTCACTCACTTCAATGTTGTAGCGGGAACAGCTTGCGACTGAGCAGTTTTCACGATGCGACATTGACAATTGAGGACATTTTGTTCTTATTTCATGACGCACGAGTCCAAAACAGCCGAATTTCATACAACATGTTGCAGAGCAAGGACACTTGAAAATTTTGTTCCTGCAACAGACCTCTTCTCGCAAAAAAGGGTAAATCACACCAGGAAAACAATCACCGCAATATTTCTTTTAATTTTTTATTTATTTATTTATTTTTAATTGGTCTAGATAGCAGCAGACATGTAAATATTTTAAGGAAAACGACCAATTTTTTAAGTTTGCAAGACATGTTTCGACAGAGCTTCTGTCATCTTCAGTTGAATGAATGATTACAAAGCAAGTTGAATAATAAGTAGGCAAAAATGCTAATTAAGACAAATAGTAACAACAGAACGTGAAAAGGTGTAAATTAAAAAGATAATTTTAGATTTACATGGTGTAATTGCTGATTGAGGCAAGGTAGTTCTTTTTGAATATGGATAGTCTCCTTTATCTTGAGTTGAAAGCTGGTAGTGGCGTGATCTAAAATATGAAAGCAGTCTATTGAACACAATGAGCGACAACGTTCAGAATTCTGAAGATGTTTGAAGATGTGAGAGGCCCTATCAACGGCTAAGTGCTCAGGTACGCGTGTGGAAAAATGTCGGGAGGTTTCGCCGACATAACAGGCATTACAGCCCGCACATGTAAACTTATAAACCACACGTGAACGAAGGTTACCTATCTTAAAGGAAGGTAAGATAGGTAACCTTCTTGGTGTGAAAGACCCTATCCCCGGCGGGCTTCGTTCACGTGTGGTTTATTACCTCTAAAATTGAAACAGTCTGATGTGAAAGGTATCGGCGTACCTGCTGCTTCAATTTTCCTTTACTACTTCATTGCGCTTATCAACTAATTGCTACTCCAGTTGAAAACGTACTTCATCAGGTTATAACAAGATACGGGCGTTATAGCGGTGAACTCTAAGAGAACCTTTGCGATAAATGTAATCTTGTCTAGTATGGCCGACATAGACACTGTCTAGAAATCTCCTTTTCGTGTATCGTTTTTACGCCGCTTAGTCCCTTCAAAAATATTAATCTTTCCCGAATTTCAGTGAATGTTCTGCAATTAGAAGCCATTCCTTCCTACAATTTAACTATACGCGAGGCAGGCACTTAATCAGCTTGAGCTAGGTGGTAACAAATCATTGATTCTCAACTTCTCAAAGCTACATTAGGTTAACAACGAGTCGGACTACGCAATATCACTGGAGTTTAGTTTTATATATATATGTTGTCAGCGAAACAGGAATCCTGCGATGAATCTAATTGGCTTTATAACAAATAACAAGACTCAGAGCGCACTACCAGCGGTGGTGTTGAGCCTGGCGAAAAGGAAGGTATCATGACAACGTCCTAAAAAAAAAAAAAAAAAAAAAATAAAAAAAAAAAAAAAAAACCAATGGAATGTACGGCAGGTCAATTGGTAACCGTTTGAAAAAGGAACAATTTGGGTGCGAAATTAGCTGTGGCCTCATAGTAGGTGCGCTCGTCTCCCGATCGAGCGGTCCGGGTTCTAACCCTAACCGGGGACATTGTGTTTTGTTCTTGGGCAAAACACTTTACTCCCACAGTGCCTCTCTCCACCCAGGTGTGTAAATAGGTACTTGCGAACTTAATGATGGTGTTAACCCTGCGATGGACTAGCATCCCATCCAGGGGGGAGTAGAAACACTCCTAGTCACTTCATGCTAGAGAAACCGGGATAAGCTCCGGCCTGATGGGTCACTTAGCTGTTATGCAGACTTTACCTTTACTCGGCTCTAACGTATGCTAGCTGTGACGAACTAATCAGAGAAACCAAATGAAGCTCTGTTAAGTTCCTTTTGAAATCAAACACGTACAGAAAGGCTTTTACAGTCAAGTTATGTTTATTTCTCCACCTAGTCGTCCAAAACTCACCGCAGGATGAACGAGTACGTCATTTGCCCCTTCTGCACCGTTGCGATAGGTGTTGGTGTGTCCATTGGGCCAACGAACCTGCGCATGGGTAAAGACGTAAACTTAACCCTTTCAGACCAAAAAGGAAAGAATTACTTTCAAAGCAATTGTTAAGCATTTCTAATATCCATGCAATAACTTGTTTAACTGGTTTGGAGAAGAAAAACCAAAGGCGGAGGGAGGGCGTAATCTACTTTCATGATCAGCAAGAACTTTGATTACCTTTGCAACTCCATTCGCAACACTGAAGACGCGACCAATGTTTCCCGCTCCACCGTCCTGGTTTCCCCATTTCCAATCCGGTCCTAAAAATTCATAAGACATAATGAAAAAACACACTAGGAGAGCTGTTATTGGCGGAAAGCTATAAATTTCGATTTTTCTGGCAGCTGTTTGTGTCCGCGAGTTGTTGCTCAGTCCGGTCGAAAGTGATCAAAAGTTGTTAAAATTGCTTCAATTACCTGAGAAAAGACGTATTTTTGCCTGATAGGTGAAATCTGAGATCTGCAAAATCTAATGATAGCTGACAAATTGTCAAATATATATTATATAATATGCCGAATTATTCTCGCATTTTGACTGGTTGTTACTTTTTATCAATTGCAAGACAGACCTTACATCATGCATGTATGACGTCATTAACGTATTATATAAAACAAGTAGATTCTATGTTGCCCTACTTCAAAATATGCCAAAAACGTCCGTGACACACTCGGCTATCACCTCGTGAGCCACTTTTTTGTTCTTATTGTATTTTGACGTCATCTGTGATTAATTACTGAACAGACGCACGGAAACGTGGAATCTATTTGTTCAACTGATAACTGAGATTCCAGCATCCCGATTGCCATGCATTTTCTTTTATGATGCTATTGAGAGAATATTGTAAGTATATGTTACTTTTAAAAAATTAACAAGTACATTGTGAGCTCTCTAACCTCTGATCACACGACATCCCACTTGAACTCCCTCCAGAAGTAGCACGCGTCTGTTTTCATCACAAACCTACGATTTGACAGTGTTATTGCATACAAAACGCGTTAATACTCACGTAGGAATGTAAGCGCTTTGGGAG